AACAGAGTAATCTTTATAAAATATCTCAAGAGTTATATTTTATCAAAGGACCTATATATTCTATGCCCTTGTGGCGTAAGTTAAGAATGCATTTAGAGTCTAAATTAAAAATGTATTTATTATATTTTTATTTATTAATTTGTATAAAATATTATGAAAGTGCGTAAATTTTATTTTCAACACTAATGCTACATAAATTAATTTAATTAGATAATTGGTAGAACTCAAGTCAATTTTTATTTTTTATGCAAATTAATGATGAAAATATACAATAAATACACACTTAACCTATACACATATGCTGTTATAAAATTTCTTTATGTATCATATTGATGGATTTACATACTATAAAATGAAAAAACACAATTGTAATCATAATAAGGTTTTGTTATGAAATACAATTGTGTTAACTATTAGTTAAACGATTTTTTTAACATGTGTTTTTATATCTTTTTGTAATTAATTGATATGGAAGATATAAATATTCACTTTATTATAATAAACAAACTATTAAAAGTATTCATGTAATAATAATATTAAAATAAATATTATTTCCTATATTTTAAATTTAAATTAATTAAAAAATAATGTATTTGTTGCATTTTAATTTATACTTTTATAACCCATGTTAAACAAAACATTTAGTTAAATGTGGCTTAGAAAAAAAAAAAACAGAAAAAGGTTAAATCAATGTACTGGTACTCGCTCGTTAGTTGGAAGATTCTCCTTCCACGCTTGGAAAAACACAAATTACACTGTTTTATATAAGACTGGAAATGGCAGTTGCGTGATGGAAAGGAGAAATTAAGCTAGCCAATCGTACCTGTGGGATTATGTCAAACAAAAACGATTTGTTGATAGCTCATAGCTATAAATTAATGTATTTTTATTTAATGATATATGAAAAAAATTTATGAACATTCATTGTCACGAAACATAATCTACAAATCTCTCTATAATAGTATTTCAAAGCACCTTCTTGATCTTTTATCTACTCCCTTAATTTATAAATTTTATAGATATTAACCCTTCATTTAAAATTTTAAGGGTATAAGTCCTTTAATAACATAATTTAGAGGAATTCACAATGATTTAACAGATTTTAATATTATGCCATTAATCAAACATCTTTCCATCTTAATTAGTGACACAGTTAGCATCTTTGTTCTACATAGTATGCTACTATGGCAATGTCACACTTTGTCACAATAACTCTTTTTTTTTTTAAATAAACTTGTTTAGAATTTCGACAAAAAATAAATAGTTTAATTTTATCAGAGTGGAGTCCATTTTATATTAAGAGAGAAATTTTTGTTGATTGTTACAGTAATATACCACATAGGATAAAAATATTGACTATGTCATCAACTAAAATGGCAATAATGTTGGACTAATAATGTAAGATTAAAATCCATTAAATGATGCTAAATTCCCCTAAATAATATTGTCAAGGGACTAATACCCTTAAATTTTTTGGTGGGGGACCAATAACCTTAAATTTTATAAATTAAAGGGCTCAATATGGGGTTTACTCTTTTCTTTTTGGCCATCATTTCCAAGCATCTGAAGCATATGAAGACTGAAGCAAGCTGAGAAAATATGCAATTAAATATGAAAATATGTCATATCCTCCATGAAATTAATCAAGAAGCTGTAGAGAATATATATACAAGGCCATTGTGGCTGAATATGGTAAGGCCAAGAATTAGTCTAATCCTAAGCAACTGGAAAATGCAGAAAGGAAAGAAAATTGAACAAGGTTAACAGCTAATAATTACAAAAAGAAAACTAATCAAAACCAACGGTTATGTGATTGGTGATGGTCTTGTTTCCTACTCTAATACAAGCCAAGTCAAACAGTTATTTATTTATTTAAATCAAGGAATTGATTGGTTTTTAAAGGATTTTCTTAGCTTTATTAGATGTGTCAGTGCCATAGTGGCAAGAGTGTGCAATTCGAAGAATGGATTCATTAATACAAGGTTAAATGTTAAATTTGGTCCCTCAACTTTAAAAAATATATATTTTTGATCCCTCAACAATTTTTTACATTGTTTTGATTCTTAAACTTTAAAAAATGTATTCCGTTAGTCATTTTGTTAATTTAGATCGTTAACTCGTCCATGTGGCATTTTTTATAGTTTTTTTGATGACATAGCAAAAACAAATTAAAAGGGTGTTGATGTGGAATTTTTTTTCATGACAGCTCATGCCAACTCAGATTATTAATATTTATATTTTTAAAAAATAAAATAAAAAAATGCGATCCATCTTCTTCCTTTCTTTTTTTCTTTTTCTTTCTTCCTCTTCTTCCTTAGGTCATCGAGCCCAGTTTGCTGGGTTTGACGGAACCCCGCCTGGGTTCCACCGAACCTAGATCTGCTGGGTTCGACGGAACCCAGCTCCACTTTTTTTTTTTTTTTGTTATATGATTGTTTGTCAAGAGATTATCCAAATTGCAAGTTGTTGTGAGCGATTTTTGGGCAACT